AGTAATCACAAAGGTGATTGGTCCACCTTGACAATCGCGGAGTAATGTAACACTTGTCTCGTGACCATACCGTTAACGTTTATTCAGTAGTGGGTTGGATAATGCTTTACATCTTAATAATACTACTGAGAAACACAACATAAATTTGGGTTGGGGGGGGGTGTTAGAAAGCTACCTGATGATGGCAGTAATGCACTGTTAAGTGCGGTTGCCAGTAAAAGAAAGAAGAAGAAGAAGAAGAAGAAGAAGAAGACCAATCACATGAAATGTCTGGGGGTGCGTCCGAAATCGCGTACTGCTTAGTAGGTACTACATTTGAATTTGAACGTACTACTCGACCGTTAAAAAAGTACGTTCTATATAGTATGAATGCGAGTAGTATGAATGGAATTCGGACGTACTACATCCGCCATGTTGATGTTGTCACGTGACATGCGTCTTCACAACAGCGCCAAAATTTAAAGAGCCCTCACTACTGCGCGAACATCAGTAATGTTTCACGTAATTCTTACCGCTTTCATCGGCGTTTTAACGTTGATTGGATCAACAGCTCAGAGGAGGCGTCGGTCAGCTGCTCGCAGATCACAGATTTTTTAGGATTACTGATAAACTACTGTCATTTGATTTGTATTATTTGTATTTGTTATTTATTTTAATTTTAGTTAAATTATGTCTGAATTTATTATAGGTAGTATTTATAAAGTTTTAGCTTTTAGTTTTGGATCTGTTTTTAGTTGTTTTAATACTACAATTGATTGCTTCTGTTGTCCTCATTTGTAAGTCGCTTTGGATAAAAGCGTCTGATAAATGACTAAATAAATAAAAGATCACGCCTTCATCGACAGCTTGTAAATCATTTATCAAATAAGGTAAGTACAATCACCTATTTAGCTAGCAAATTTTACTTTTAATTTTTCGCCTACTATATAGTATGGAAGTATGCGATTTCGGACGCTGCTTGGGTCACAAGGCCCCGCCCTTTTTAGAATCTACGCTCGCGTCATTCAAGCACGTGCTTTGCGCATGCGCAACGTCAACTGCGTAGAAATCAACAACAAACTATGGCGGACGGTAAGTGCTGTTTCTGAGCTTTGTGGTTAATTTTGCACTGATTAACTGTGCAGTGATTATATTTGCTGCAGTTTTAGACCTAGTCAGTGTTAACATACGGTAGGGAGAGTTATATCTCTGATTGTGTGCATTATTGCGAGCGTTGAGCTTTTCTGCAGTGGCCCATTGAATCCCGCCATTCACTAACGTTACAGTATGTGACTTTAACGTTACATGCACAAATGCGCGACTCGTATGTAAAATACTGCGGCTTATTAGTTCTTAAACTTGTTAATGTGGCTTAATAGTAGGGCTGTGCGATATTGAAGAAAAATGCGATATGGTAATGCTTAAAGTGCCACATGCTCAGATGAAGGTTTTACTCAGCTGTTGCTGAGTCAGTTCTGTGAACTTCTATAACGATCTTGTCATATATATATATATATATATATATATGGTTATTTGTATGTATGTGTGTACCAAGAGTTCCTGTAAAACCACAAAAAATTCCTTGTGTTTGCGCACACTTAAGTGGTGAATAAAGCTCATTCTGATTCTGATTCTAATATAACTAGCATACATGTTTCACTTTTTGTGAGAAGAAAGCACCCCTACAACAACTTCTGAAAGTGAACGGTATGCGTTTTACTCGCGCATTACATAAAAATTTAATTTTAACATTAGTGTAATCATTTTAACATGTGTTTAGGAACTGAATAATAAAAAGGAAAAATACAACACTGCTTAGTGTTTACTCTATGAATTAAATATGCACTGATTCTTACTTAAGCTACAAAAGTTATTTAGGTAAGAGCAGTGAGTGATTTTCTCTTTGTCTTTTGTTCATGGCCCCAAATATTGCAAGCTGTAGCGATATGCATATTGCGATATTTCAATAATTTCGATATATTGCACAGCCCTACTTAATAGTTTAATTTTGATCCTTCCAGAACACCCTGATGCCGAGCAGAGCATGGAGGGACACACTGCTGTGAGTAACGTTAGCATTGCAATATTTCATTAAAGCAAGATTGTGTGTTTAATGCAAGAAAGGACAAAGCAGTTTGTCTCGATCAGTTGTTGTCATTCTTGTGTTTCTTGTTTATTTTAGGTCCCAGAAAATCCTCATGCAGAATATGGCCTCACTGAAAACATCCAGGTACAACATCAGTACTACTTAGCTTTTTATAATGTCTTAAAGACTGGATTAGAAAAACAGTTGTGAATTGGCTGCAGCATGAATGAAGCATTAGTTCTATGAGTGTATTCTATGTGTGTCTGTTTCTCTAGAGAATAGTGGAGAATGAGAAAACAACCGCTGAAAAAGTCACCAAACAGAAGGTGGACCCTCAGACCCTTCCTACACGAGCGTATCTGGATCAGACCGTGGTTCCTATTCTCCTGCAGGGCTTGTCAGTTCTGGCCAAGGAAAGGTCTGCATTAGTGCACAGACTTCTTGCTAAGTTCTTTCCAAACACAAAACTACATGAACATGATATTTTTTGGGATTATGATTGCCTTAAAGGAATGGTTCACCCAGAAATGAAAATTTATTCACCCTCAGGCCATTCAAGATGTAGATGAGTTTGTTTCTTCATCAGGACAGATTTGGAGAAATTTATCATTATATCATTTGCTCACCAATGGATCCTCTGCAGTGAATGGGTGCCGTCAGAATGAGAGTCCAAACAGCTGATAAAAACATCCCAATAATCCACACCACTCCAGTCCATCAGTTAACATCTTGGGAAGTGAAAAGCTGTGTTTCATAGTTTATGGCCAAAATAGAATTCCATAATCCATGACATTTCCTCCAATAAAAAGTCCATCCCCTATTCTATTTCACATCAAAATCCACCAGCATATTTGTTAAAGCAGTTTTGGACTCTTTTCACTTATAAACGGTGCTTAATCTGATCATATTTCTCTCCTGATTCAGATGAGATGACTTTCTCAGTGGAGAAAGAAATATTATGGATAGAGACTCATATTTTACCCAGTAGCAGTTTGAAGTTAAAAATGTTTTTGTTTCTTAAAAACACAGATTTTCACTTCACAAGATGTTAATTGATGGACTGGAGTAGTGTGGGTTACTTGTGGATTATTGTGATGTTTTTATCAGCTGTTTGGACTCTCATTCTGACGGCACCCATTCACTGCAGAGGATCCACTGGTGAGCAAGTGATGTAATGCTACATTTCTCCAAATCTGTTCTGATGAAGAAACAAACTCATCTACATCTTGAATGGCCTGAGGCTGAGTAAATGTTCAGCAAATTTTCTTTTTTGGGGTGTAAATTATTCTTTTAAGTAATTCCTTTAATTCATTCCTTTTGTCTGATCAAAATTAAATTTCCTCCTCGTATCAATTAAGTTTATGCATCTAATTCCACTATCCATCTTCCTTCAGGCCTCCAAATCCCATAGAGTTTTTAGCGGCATTCTTACTGAAGAACAAGTCCCAGTTTGAGGAACGAAATTAAAGACAGTGTGCGGTGGAAGATTTAGGATTACAGTTTTTTGTTTTGTGTATTTTTTTGTGAATTTAAATGTAATGGTGTCACTCTTCAAACTGTTTGTTTGCCAACATTAATGTAGTTTTTTAAGCTCTAATAAAATGTTCAAGCAGCCATATATGTTTCACTGGTGTGGATTTTCTTTATTTGGTAATTAATAAGGCAGCTAAAATTGACACTAAATTGGCTTGGCATGTACAAAAATCCAGCTCAGGAACAATCCTTCATTCCCATTTATTTGCTTGATATTTTAATATTACACGACACCTAGCATTGTGCATGACAATAACAAACAAAACCGAGAGAGGAAAGCAATTCCTTTTAACTGTGAACATATAAAAACAATTCAAATTTTAATCTGTAGTAAATATAATTTCTTTCTTCAGTATAAAGATTAAACGCTCTCAGCATATGCAAAATACTCCTAAACCGCTCAAAGCACATCTGTTTCTCAAGCAGCCGTAATCACCATGTCCATGAAAGGTCTCTGTATTCATAAAGCAGTATAAAAACGTGTGATAGCAATGGTTTGTTTCCATTCAGGTAACAGCTGATAAAAAAAAAAGTTACATTTATAAAGCCGAGAGCCGATCATCTTCCAGAGAATGACTCTCGGCGCTATATACGACCAACACGTTTTCAATTAGTTTGAGAAAATTCATACTAAGATTATAGATGCCTTTTTACATTGAATATGATGTGGAAAAACAACATGAATACATTGCTATTGACCTGAAACTCTGTAAACTAGAGTAAAAGAATTGTTTCTGTCCTTGTGTCTCTGTAATGTATTGTACCTCCAGTGCACTAGTTCTCGGCTGCAATTTCAGTGGCACAGAAAAACCACAAAGCAAGGCACCAACAACTTCTAAGAGCTGGCATACCTGATATGGGTCTAGAAGAAATCCTAGATAAACGTTCCCAGTGTACTTAATTTAAAATTTGACAGTGCCTGTGACATTGTCAGCAAGAGTTTGTAGACCAAATGTAAACCAAAGACTAATGTCAAATTTGTAAACTGATACTTGCAAATGTGCGTTTCAATTAAAATCTCCAAACACAAAAATTACATCAGTGACCAGGATTTTGGCATGTCGTTCCAGGACTAGGGCTGGGCGATACAGCTTAGGAAATATTAAATATATCATCAATTTTTTTTATTATATTTTACAGCCATTTGACATTATTCGTTTTATATCTTGGTGTTTATGTATTTGGGTAACACTTTACAATACGATTTGTTAGCATTAGTTAACATGAACTAAAAATGAAAAAGACTTGAAAAAGGACCCTTCACTGACACCGAAAAGTCATTTACCTTCTCAGTAAGTATAAAAAAAACAGTAAAACTACTGTATATTCTAAAGAGCTGATGTGCAGCTTCTCAATAAAAACCAAAATGCCAATGCAAAGATGCATGAGAACACAGAACTGAAATCGGTTTGCTTGTTTTGATACATTTCACACCTTCATTCACTCACTCAGATTCATAAGAAATAAAAACGTTTGAATCTCACTGAAGCGTAACGACTGTGTTCTGATAAAGTCCTTCATGTGTCAGTGGGTTTCTGTCAGATGTAGTATTGGTGGGCTGCCAGGCTGTCCATGAAGGGCCGTACCAGATTGTCTGTGGAGAAGTAGAAGACCAGGCCGAAGGTGATGGAGATGGGCAGAGCCGGAAGAGCCTTCTTGAAAATGGCCAGCAGGAGGAGCGTCAGGCACAGTCCCTGCAAAGCAACCACAATATCAGCAACAACAACCCTAAATTAAACTCTTAGGCTCTGCTCCAAAACCTAGCGAGCTTTCTACTGCCCCACTAAGACATCATCCACTCATTTGGAACATTCAACATACAGTAGCTAGCAATACAAATACATAGCAAACAATTATTGTTTACAACAGTCAATGTTTAATTAAACTATTATTATCAATATCTTTAGTACTGAATGAAATATAAATATTACCAAAAAAAACAATATGAATAAATTTTTTTTTATATTTAATAAATATAAAAGTATAGGTTTTATAATAATATAATATAACAATATATAAGAGGTACTTAAAAGTATGTACTTGTAACAATGCATTTTGGGATTTCCTTTTATTATAGATGTTTATATGTGACCGTGGAGCACAAAACCAGTCATAAGTAGCACGGGTATATTTGTAGCAATAGCCAACAATACATTGTATGGCTCAAAATGATCGATTTTTCTTTTATGCCGGTATTTGATGAAGATGAGGGCCATGAGGGCGCTGATGACAATGAGGTACGCCTGCTGCAGCCGCAACGGCCCTTTCCAGTGGATGCAGATCATTCCCACGACGCCGAAATTCCAGATGATCATCACTAACGTTGGGTAGTCCATAGCCACGTTATATGTCTTGAACACCTCGCTGGAAAGGAAAGGGTTTGACAAAAGTAAGGAACTACAACTACTTATAAATAAGGAACTAAATTAGGAAATTATGAAGTGTTTGATTCATCATCAATCGATCTAGTTTGATTCATTTCTGCTAATCGATTCATTTACATAATCACTCAAAATTGTTCATGGAACTGTCATATTACATGTTTTAAAATATTGCTGCTTATTACTATGTACTGTTATATTACTCCATAAAAAATTATTAGATATCATTATTTCCTTTGCTCATTTAGTGTAAAAAAAAAAAAAAAAAAGCACTTTCTGAACCACATTTTTGCAATCAACAAAAATCACTCTTCTAAGCCATTTAAAGGGACAGTTCACCCAAAAATGAAAATTCTGTCATTAATTACTCACGTTCATGTTGTTCATGCATCGTGATACTCTCCAAAATGGTGCTAGGGTGACGCGAAGGAGAAGAATTGTTGAATAAAGTTGCTAATTTTGTTTTCTTTGCGCACAAAAACTATTTTCGCAGCTTCATAAAATTATGTTTAAACCCCTGATGTCACATGGACTGTTTTACCGATGTCCTTATTACGTTTCTGGATCTGGGAACATTTCAGTTGCGTTGCTGTCTATGGGAGGGTTAGAAAGCTCTCGGATTTCATCAAAAATATCTTAATTTGTGTTGCAAAGATGAACGAAGGTCTTACGGGTTTGGAACAACATTGAGGGTGAGTAATTAATGACAGAATTTTTGGGTGAACTATCCCTTTAAGAGCAAGTAGATAAATATTAGGATAGCATCAAAAGGTAGGACTCATTATTAGTTTGCTCAAAAATTACATTGTGATTATTAATCACGACTGATCTCATTTTTACTTTTTTTTCTTGTTTATTTGACCTCACCTGGTTTCCTTATTTGTTATATTTATCACATACATTAACACAATCTCTACATTATGAAAACTGGTAAAACCAAAAAGCTTCTCTCAAATGCTAAAACCCAAAAAAGTTAAATTCCCAATATTAATTCCAATAATTGCAAATTGTGTATTTTCTATTCAAAAAGAACAAAAAACAATATTGCAGGTGATTATGCTTAATTATTTGAGAGAACCACAAATCGTGATCACAGTTGAAATCAATGACGCAGTCTTCTCGAAAGGCTAAAAGTATGAAGATATCATGATTTCAGCTATATCATCCAGCGCTGACACATCCATCCAGTAGCAGTATTAAAAGAAAGCGAAGCTCAGCAGAATCTCACCCCAGATACATGAAGCTGAACCAGAAGAGCAACATCAGTGAAGACAGAATCAGCCAGCCGTGAATGAACTGCACACACACAGAAAAACACCTCTCAGAAAATACAGCTAGGATTTTTATAACAAGACGGGAGTAGTTTAGTTATAGTGTTATAATCATAAAGCCACAGTCAAACCACAGAACTCTATAGTGTTGTAGTAATAAAGAGGATCTCACTTTATAGCAGCGATACTTATAAAGCACCACCAGTATTATCGTCATGACCACAATCACACTGATCATGACCATGGTGTTGAGGAGCGAATTCAAGAGCCTCTGACCGACGGAGTTCGGATCTTCTTCGAACGGAGTGTAGATGCTGCAAAACACACACAAACCATACATTTTTGCTTCTTTGTAAAGGATTGATTCAAATAAGAAAACACTGTCATCATTCATTCACCCTCAAATCTGTTGGCTGTTACTTTTTGTGACACATCCTACATAGCAAAGCAATATGATAACAATATTATAGAAAGCAAATTCTTCACATTTTATAATACTGAAAAAATTATATTAAAAACATAATATTAAAAACAAAAAGGTAAATGAAGGAATATTAAAAAAATTTTTTTTTGAAAAATTATAATATTAAAAACATAATATTTAAAACAAAAATAACAAAAAAAATTTCAAAGGTGGGGTGGTAGTAAAACAGAACAATTAAAGACTGATTTTAACTTTTTATAAAGACTGATTATATATATATATATATATATATATACACACACACATACATACACTGCCGTTCAAAAGCTTGGGATCAGAACGATTTGTAATGTTTTTTAAAGAAGTCTCTTATGCTCATCAAGGCTGCATTTATTTGATTATAATAAATATAGACATATTTATTTTTGGCTTAAATCTGAGGTAACGAAGCACGTACAGCCGCTGTGAGGTTTTCTCCGTGTAGAAGCTGACAGACTTGATTGTTGCCACCACCACCACCATGCAGAGCGTGACAGGGATGAAGAGCATGATGACGTGCTTAGCGCCGTATTTGAGGGTCAGCTCCTCTTCCTCTCCGTCAGGAGTGGACGCTCGCTCTCGCTCCACCGGCCCTGGCTCATCCAAACCTGAGCTGACCGGCCGCCGCTGCAGGGAATTACAGGTGAGGACGATAAAAATGGGATTTGTGGATGCAAAGTAACAACTCTGTATTAGCACACGTCAAGCTTAGTTCTTTCAAAAGAGAGGAAGGAGAATTCATGTCCACTTACCCGTTTGGTGTCTGTTTCCTGGGGCAGAGACATATCATGATCTTGGTTGTATGAGGGGATGGTTGGGCTTTCGCACTGGAACAGAGCGGACCTCTCGTTGTAAGAGTCCTCTTCACTGTCCGAAGTATTCATGAAGAGAAGGTGACAGAAGCCAAACGCCCAGAGCTGCAACAAACACATCACGCCAGAACAATATAAATGCAGCCTTTACCAAAAAGCATGATGGAAAACCATAAAGTAGCTTACATATGTAAAATTAAGAGTTGGCTCAATAATTCATTTGCATCACCACTCAACACGGATCAAGGAAGTCTCTGTGCGACATTTTACATGCTTTAAAATGGTGTAATAAGAACATATGCAAGTAAATATTGCTGTTAGTTATTATTATGAATGGTTATATTTAATCATAAATATGATTGTGTTTAGCAAGTGTACAATATGCCTTCATTTTTCACTGCATTTTACAAAAATTATGGCATTACAGAAGAAAATCAATTTATAACATCCATCTGTGTGGGTTATATTTCCATATACACTTCCATTATGATATTACCATCTGACATTGTATTATAATAGTACCACATTTATTCTGTAAGTGGATTAGATTAAAACACACACAAAAAACGTTGATCTTTATAAAAGAATAATAATCTCTGGGACAAATACGCGCGTTTTCCCGCAGTTATAATGAGTGTAATACACCCCTGCTCTTACTCATGTTACTGTCATATTCCAATAATGTTCCACAAAACCCAGATCAAAGCATTTATCATGATCCATGACTGCCCAGCATCTCCTAATGTGTCTGGAAAACCAGTTCCTCCCCGCGTCTAAAGTTAAACCACATCTGATGAAGTGCACAGATGAGAAGACTGAAATACCTTCAAATGTGACCGTATTCACATGAACGACGACCCAGCAGCGCTATTTGCAGCAGCACTCCTTCAAAACATCGCGAACTCCGAAGAGGAAGTGATCCCGATCAGCTGATCCCCACGTGACGCTCGAGCGCGTGACGTCAGCGGACCACATGTCACGGCGACAAATCATCATTTACTCTTATTCTGAATTTTTGTCTAAATTTAAAATCCCAAACATTCGTAAAGAATATGCTGTAGTTATGGATGCTGTCCCCTTTGGTTTAAAAATGCTTTGTAAAAATACATGTCCCCAATCTTCTCTGCAGTCTTTTGATCCTGTTGACACTGCTGTTGGTCGAGTTTGTTTCTCTTCTTCCTCTGTTAAACACAATAATCGACAGGGTCGGGCCCTTTTTCAAAGGGATGTTGTCTCTAGACCTCCTATTGTAACTTTCTGGAATAGCTGTGTTGATGGTTTGATATGGCATAAAATCTGGAAATTACCTCATAAATATTTAATCACAAATAAAGTAAAAGAAATTTCTTTCAAACTCATTTATAAATATTACCCCAGTAACTTTTTCCTTGTAAACAGATTTAACTGTGATCTTGATACACTATGTACATTTTGTGGTCTACATACAGAAACGTTTTTTCATTTATTTTGGAGTTGTCCTTGCTCAGTCAATTTTTGGTCAAATTTCTGCTCATTTGTTAGAGATCATATCATGCCCAGCTTTCAACTTTGTTTTGAAAATGTTGTTACATCTTTTTTTGACTGTTTGGGAAATTGGGAAGACCCATCTAGATATTTTCAGCTGAAATCTGGATACAATTTAGATATAGGCCTAACATGCAAAGTTGTTATTATATATGAATCAAAAATTATTTCTGTTAACTTTATGGTGAATCTTATGGTTTCATATGGTACATTTTATATACATAAACGTATATAATCTTGATTTATCTGTAAATTTGTTTGTGAAGCACTTAAAGAAATGTAATTGGTAAAGAAATTGTCTAAAAAAAAAAAAGACAATTATATGTGGTTCTTTATCCCGCAGTGTATTTTTCAAAAGCTTGGAGGCTTTTGAGATGTAATTTTCTTCCTGGAAAGTTACCAATTAAATCTCATTTCACCAGCAATGCTATTCATTACTTGAATAAATCTGTTCTATGATGGTGGAAACATTCTGTCTTATGAAGACTTTATGCGTTTTTACAACTTTCCCATTCCCTGTAAAGAATTTCAACAAGTTGTTAAAGCTATTCTAAAATGAGTGGATACACTTTATAAATAATCATCTTACTTTTGGAAGCAATTAAAAGATTCTTCCAGAGTTAATAGTTAATAGCATTGAAATATTTACTTCCTCTTTTAATAATAACAAATTAGTCACATTTTTTCATAAATATATAAGTATAGATCCACCGCTGTAGTCCTTGATTTTGTCCTATAAGGAAGATCATTATATTGTTTAGTTGTTTATATGTGTTTTTTATTATTATTTCTTCTCTTAAATGCTGTCTTACAGAACATTCGTTCTTGTGTATGTGGATTTAATTGTTAAAATGTATTGTGATTTTCAATCATTTCTTCAATAAAAAATAAAATCATAATTTAATAAGAATAAATTCTGGGATGATTCAAGCTCTTTCATTTTCAGCCCAACAGAAGTTAATTACTCCTTGATGACACTTATTATAAGAGCACTAATCATGTATCTATTGTATCTAATATGTTGCCAAATTCTTTATATTATAGTCTAGGGGAAAAATTTCATTCACAAGCAGAAAAGATCAGATTCTTCTTTGTCTTGTCTTCTAATGTTTCTTCTTGAATTCAGCTCTCTAATTCCATCCCTCAGACTTGTACAATAACAGAAATGCTAGATTTTTAGGCTTTATGAGAGTTCATTAAAAAAAGCGATTTTGCTTTTCTTATGTATTTTTGCATATGTTTTTTTTTTGTTTGTTTGTTTGTTTTTCTGGATACATTTCAATTGTTTCAATTTTGGTTTCCTTATTTATTTGGCCCAAGTAATTATAGTTAGTCCCTGAAAGATACTATATGTGTCAATACCAATGAGAAGAAGGTCGTAGGTTATGTGGTATAATATCCACAAACTAACAGGTGCTGTGAAAATATTTCACATTCATAGTCGTTGAAATTAAATAAATGAAAATACACCTTAAAATATATTGTTTAATCAATGTTTGTCTAATCATTTTCTAAGATTTTATGCTCTTACAATAACTTTTATATTGTATACATTTTATTTTATATTTTACATTTACCAGTGTTTATTCATTTTTAATAATAATTAGTAGTAATTGTCATATACAATCCATTTATTTTACCATTTTATGATCTGGGACATAAAAATTATTTAAAAAAATTAAATTATTTATTTATCTGTAATTTGTTCTAAATGGTCTTTGGAGTCTGATTACCTTCTGGCAAAAAAAGAGAGATTAAAAAGGTATTATATAAATGCTGTTCTGACATTTACCTCTGACAATTTATGTGGAAAAATATGAATAAATTCAGTAAGGAAGTCTGCATAGTTTGTCATCTATAACCCATCTAGAAAACCTTGGCAAACACCCAGAACACCTTGCATGGCAACAACATAGCTTATTAATCTTCAAATCTCTCTTCAGGCCGAGTATTCAGACTACACATGACTGCATATAGAGGTTTTTTTGTTTTGTTTCAGGAGAATTTTAGGGAACAATCACAGGGTCCCAATGTCTCAGTGCTGTGATGGCATTCTTTATGACTGGAGTCACTCATTGACTTCAGATGTTTATTTTCTCTAGTAGGATGGACCTTATAATTCATGCACATTGAGAGCCAATACAAACTGGTGGGAGGAACCCAAGGGTTTTATATGAGGGTGGTTTTTTTTCAATATAGAGGTCAACACAGTGAGAAGGGAACAGTGCAGTGCATTGACAAACATAGAGAGAAGCAGCAATGCTTTGCCAGGAAAACACTATTCACTATTGTAGCTGGACATTTGTAGTCGGTGGAGTGCTTTACCTTCTGCGGCAAATTACCACACACACACCGTACGGACGTTATGTGGACACAAAATCCCCCGGGATGATGGTCCCAGCCAAGGCAGGATGGTTTATTCAGGAGCTTCCATCATTCCTTGTTCCTGTGCTGTTGTTTTTGACGACAGAAAGTTTGCCGGGGATAGGAAGACATTTTCTGCTCTGGACCTTTTGCTTGCACTACTTTCAGAGGTAACATCGTTCATATTTCACATATAGTGCTTTAATTAGTGCATTAATGCCAACAATAGCATATCAAGCACACTGGCAAGGAACTTTTCTAAGAATGTTCAAGAGAAGTACAGCTGTATCAGATTAACACACTAAACGCGGTTTTGTTCTTGTGGTTCATGCAATAGGAAAGTAGCCTAAGTGGTGCATGAAGTAGAATCACTAAAGTGTTGTAAAATGTACTGATAATTATACTAAAAGTATAATGGGTCACAATCTTAAATTCAAAGCATATATATGCAAAACATAATATATAATAGCCTGTAATATACTGAATAAGATAAAAAAATAAAATTATTTTGTGAGGCTGACACTTGTCACCTTGTTAAGCTGATTTTTATAATATAGGGCTAGTTGAAAATAGCTGTTTGCAGGGCCGGATTTACGCATAGGCATTCTAGGCACGTGCCTATGCTCGCAGGGGGGCCCAAACACAATGAAGAGATATATAATATTTTTTGTTATACTATGGGATATCTACAACAGTAAAATAACCAAAACTCCAGAAGACATTGAGCAAATAAATATAACAAACAATAGGGTAAAAATGACAAACTATTTCCATGTCTTCAACCTTTTTTATGTACGGAAATCAGGCTTTTCTCCTCTCACAGACGCACACACAGTACAGACACGCACTCGCGCACGCACGCGGAGACGCGAATAGAAACTCGTTGTCAGAGCTGCGGCTGCCCCGCGAATTTATCAATAAAATAGTTTCGCAGCTGAAAAGCTATACATGACATTTCTCAGTAGCGAGGTTCTTGAAGCAGTTCAACTTAAAGATTCGCTATTAGTAGACGCTGCTGCTGAATGCTGCTGAGAGATGCACAGATGCATGTATTCACACGCACTTAATCTCTCTCTCTCACCCTCTCTCTCTTTCGCTCTCTCTCTCTAATAACTGCGTTAGACTGCATTAATAACTGC